AAGAGCAGTGTTGCCAACTTAGCTCTATTGTCTATTCTATTAACATTTCTCTATCTGTATAATGGGTCTGTTTTATGTGTTGTCTTCTCATTTCAGAGGGGCCCCCTGCCTGTTTTTGCCTAGGGCCCCAAATTTCCTAAATCCACTCCTGTTAGGCAGTGTGTATGTGGCTACCTCTAAATAGCCTCCGAACCCCTTTGCTTCTTTAAATCTACACCAACACTCAAATGCGTGACCAATGTCCATCTTGTTTTTGCTAGTTTTTTGTTTAAATATGAGAAATTGTAACGCAGTGAAGAACCATTTCATGTCTGTTATGAAGCCACTAGGAGCTCATGTTGACTTCAGTCTGCTATTCCTGTTTGTGGAGAGTCCTTGGCATCAAAACCAGAAGTACATATTTATATTTTTGGACCTGTCAAAATTTACAAAACATTGATTTCTATGGTGTTTTTCCAGCGATATTAATATTTTTATTCTGCTGAACTTCTTAGAAATATTTTTTTTTTGTTACGAATGGTTTTGATGAGAAAGTTGTAGATATGAACTTTTAAAGAGGTGTAAGTGCTTGGTCTGCTAAATTTTCTCGGGTCTTCATTAAATGGCCTAACACATCTGGTTTCCCCTTACAATTTATACTCATAAACCTTCGTGTTTAAAGTCAAACTGTCCTTTTTAATAATTTAACCCATTCAACAGAAAAATATATTTATTATGTTAAAATTTCTGTAAATACTAATACATTTAAAATGTTTATATTTCTCCAGTCAGATGTATGGGCCCTGGGTTGCTGTGTGTATGAGATGTCCACGCTGAAGCACGCCTTCAACGCCAAAGACATGAACTCACTGGTTTATCGCATTGTAGAGGGAAAGGTTGGTTTCATCGTTCATCGTCTTTCTTTTAATAAACTTTGAGTTAGCAATATGTGGTTTATTACTTTATTTTCAATAAGATAACAAGCACCAATTTTTTGCTCTTTGTTATTTAAAGACCGGACTTTGCTTCTACTGTTCTGCCAGTTCTTTAACCCAGCAACGATCCAGAGTAGTAATAAATTCCTGTTAAAGGAACTAGTTTCAGGACAAACTAATATTTTAACGTCTTTTATGCTAAGTCAAGCAGAGAAAGAATTAAGGAAATTATCACTGAGGCTCTTGCCAGTCAACAGAGCTGTTGCAACATAAACAAAAAATAATTAAATCATGAACATTAGACTTTTATAATCTTAAGTGTGTCAATTTCCTCATATATTTCATCCGTAAAGGAGTTTGTCGCTTCACTTGGTATTGTTTTCATTGGGTAATATTATTATTAGGAAGACTGTGAAATGATTAAGGGTCTAACTAAGTGTGCGTAGCTTCTAGCAGCCCTGTAAATGATAAAATGGTAAATGGCCTGTACTTATATAGCACATTTTGAAGTCAGAGGACTTGACCAAAGTGCTTTACACTACATTCAGTCATCCTATTCGCTCACACACAAATGGTGGTGAGCTATATTGTAGCCACAGCTGTCCTGGGGCTCACTGACAGAAGCTAGGCTGCAGTACACTGGAACCACCATTAGTAGGTCATTGACATTTTTCTTCAATTCATCAATTCTTGCAAGACTAACTCTACCAGACTTTGTGTCTCCATTAGCTGCCCAGTATCTCCATTCTAATTGCTTTCCTGTAGCAGTAACAAACATTAGCTCATTTCACCTTTTCATTATTGGTTATTAAAATCTTCATTAAAGATTATTATCCTACAAAATTGACGTCTCTAACTAATTATAAAATTGAGGGAGATTAAATGAAACATAAACACTTATTATATTTAAGAAGCTAAGATTTTAAACCTTCAGTCTTTGTATGATTTATAAAGATGATCCATCTGCAGAGGGGTTTGGTGAATTTTTATTTATTCTATTATGATATAATTTGCTCCCCATCTATAGATGATTAGGTTTAAAAAACAACAACCCTCAAGTGCAAAGTCATTACCACCCTCAGCTTGGAGATCTGATCAAGAGTATGCTGTGTAAGAGACCTGAAGTACAAATAAGAGATGTACCTTATTGTATTTTTGCTCAGGGACAAGTAAAAATTACTTAACCAAGAAATGAGTTAAGAGTGAAAAAGTATTTAGTAAATATGTTATGCTACTGATGAAAAAAAAAATAAAAATTAACAGTGTTTAAAGTTCTGTGCAAATTCTGTAGTTTTAAAGAATGAGATAAAAAGGAAAATAAATGTACCATGTGCAGTGATTACAGAATAACAATTTCAGGTGGAGCAAACACTTTACAAAATATAACCTAGTTTCTTTTCTATGAAGTCAAACCTTATAGTATATTATTTATATAGGTCAGAATAGGCTAACTTACTTCAAGTAACAAGATACAGCAACTGTTTTCTGTTTTCACTTGACTTCTAAATACAGCGAATAGTAAATAACATTGAAACAGTAAATCTTGAGTAAAAAAATGAATCTCACTTTAACAAAAACTGTAGGTGTTTGTCTCTCTGGTGCATTTTTGTTTAAAATATGTTTAATAAGTTGTTGAATTCATGCTGTTTTGCACAGTTTTAACCTTATCCAGGTAAATAACATGCTGCTGTTTTTTTTTTGCACATCTCTGATTTTGCTGCTATTTTCAATTATTCATTACTATAAAAATGTCCACAGCTATATATTGATTATTTTTTCTCCAGGTGAACAGTTTTATATTGTTAAAACGCTTTACAGTACAGACACACACACTTACAGTACATTATTTTATTGTTTATCATTTAAATCTTCACAACTATGTTATTCTTATACATTTTTCTAATTTCCACATTTGTGTGACCATTAAAGAAAAAAAATAATTTTTTTCTCATCAGCTGCCACCAATGCCAAGTCAATACCACCCTCAGCTTGGAGATCTGATCAAGAGTATGCTGTGTAAGAGACCTGAAGACAGACCTGATGTCAAACATGTCCTCCGGCAGCCCTACATAAAACGTCAGATCGCCATGTTCCTTGAGGCCACCAAAGAGTAAGAGTCATTCAGTCATTATCTTATTGGCTTTTTTCATAGTTACTTTCAGGTAATAAGTAAAGCATAGGAGGCTGGAAATCAGCAGACATCACTTTTCATGGCTACACTGATAACGCTCTGCTCTGTATTGATGTCTTCTGAAGGCCCCAGACCCGTGGATGCACTGTTTAAACGTATTTAGCTTTTAAATCATAGAGAATTTACCTCAGCATATACTTTTGTTTAGGAACACTGTTAATTTCCATTTTAGATTTTGTTGTTTTTTCCTTTATGAGAGGTACAGTTCCTAATGCTCTGTAATTGAGCAATATCTTTACCTTTCAACTCTTCCTCCTTTCATTTTTAATGATTACCTGTTATCTGTCTTTTGGTCTCCGGTGTTTAAATGCCTGTCTTTATGTTTGTAATACCTGTAAAAGATTTTGCTTTACATATGACTGAATAAAAAGTCCTCTATGAATAAAGCTGAAACAAGCGATTGAAGTTTAAACGATAAGCATTCTCCCCACATGTCTGTTTGGGTTCCAGAAAAACATCCAAGTCGAAGAAAAAAGCCGTGGTTGGATCTGGAGATCACAGAAGCAACAGTCCATCAGCTGCTGCGTCTTGTCCTTCAAAGCCTCCAAAGCTTCCTCCATGTCCAAACACTGTTCCCCCGGTGAAGCTGGTATGTTGATAGTTATTTGAGTTATTGAATTTATCCTTTGACAGTATTATTTAAGAGTAACTTACAGGTTATTTTCTCCCTTAGTTAAAAAACAGTATATACCTGCTAAAGTTTATATTCTTTATTAGATAATTTGGTGATTAATTTGTTTTAAAAAAAATGATAAGTCCAAAAAATTAAACTAATGGACTGTATAGCTAATTTCATTTAATCCAAGGATGCATGGCTTGTTTTTATATTGAGCCACTTTGGCATCATCAAGTCTTTAACAGGGCTGATTACAACTCCACAAATAAAGCTTGATTTTAGGTTTCATTTACAAAAAGCTCACTGTTCTTTGGTCTCATTTTTAAAGGATTGTTCAGGTGCTCTGATTAAACATTCCATGCATCCAAAAGGTAGAAACAGTGAATGGCAAAACGAAACAAAATAAAAAAAATATATTTCTGGAAGGAAATTATGCAAGTTTGCTCTGATTCCTCACATTAAAATCTGTGTCACCAGTTTCCTCTGTTTCTAAAATGTGGGAGCCCCATACAGACGGGTTAGATTTAGCATGAGGGGATGCAATTTTTCACCCCAAGATTATGATTTTATAGCTAGTAAGGTTTCTAGATTAAATTCACCAAGGGGGCAGGGATGGGTTAGTGTTATCATGGGAGCAAAAAACAAAAGAATCACAAAAATGAAATGAAATAAGATAACAGAGTTTCGCTTTTCTTATTTTAAGCATTAATCATGATATTGCATCTGCAAATTCCTTTACTTACCTTCTCAAACAGTGCTATTTAAAAAAGAAATCGACTTGCGTTTAAAATTTAGCCGTTCATGTTTTCACTACAGGGTCCATAAAAGGCGCCTGGAAGAGTTCTACAGGAGCCTTGGCCCCTGCTAGCCCCAGAACTGCCCCTGTTTATATATCACAACAACTGTGTAAAACCTGCTGCTTGAAGCCGATTTGTTCATATGCAAGCTTTATAAATTAGACCCTGGGTATTCTAACTTTACTCCCATTTATTTTCCAATATTAGCTTTTATACTTTGTTAAGAAATTGTATTTACACCCTTTGAATTTTCACATCTCTTGTTTTGTCATATTTTATTGATTTATTGATATTTTTTATATATAAAAATATTTCCCTAAAGTTGTTTTTTTGTTTTTTTTTTCCTCTCAGTTTTGAGCTTAAGAATGTAAGCAAATCAGTTTTAGATAAAATGTTGAAAGGAGCTATACCTGATGAACTTACATTATTCTGAACAGGAAAGCTCTTCTTTCTTCTGACATGTATGACACTAAAGACGCACCTCATGCTTGCAGTCCTCGAGCCTCATTCCACACATCTAACCGTCACAGATAAAATGTAACTATAGTAGAAAGTAACATACAGCTCTGAAATGCTAATAAACATTAAAAATCCCCTGTCTGGCAGAACTAGAACCTGTGTTTAAATCTAATCCTGGGCTTTCATCAAAGTTTCTCTTTCGGTCACTCTTTCCTTCTAATCAGTTATTCTTCTTCTAGGCTTGCTCACATGGCAAGATTTTAAAGTTGTTGGTCAGTTTTCAAAACATAAGGGACACCGCACATGCTGATTTAAAATCAATATAGACTATAGAACGGTCCTCTTCGGGCCTGTGAAAAGCTCGATACACCGCACACAATTTCACCCGGAGCATTTAGCGGATGGTGACGGAAATCTAGCCAAACCTCTAGAGAAAAGGGTCAAGGCCGTCGATTTTTTTTGAAAACCGCCATAAAAAAAAAGACACCTTCCTTTAAAGTCCTAAATATATTTTTGGGCATTTGAAATTTTCCACAGATGATGACTGCTATCAACATGTCGTTATTTATGTGTTTGTTCAATGCTTTATTCTGGAGTTTCCTCTGTGGAGTTGATGTGTGAACAGCACAGCAGATTCATGGATGAATGAGATCTTCTCATGGATGGATTGTAGATTCATTCCTGCAGTTTCAGAAACATGCAGTTGCATAATGCTCAGATAATACGCATTTCAATTGGTTTGCCTAAGAAATCTAAGTTGAGATGTTAAAGAATAAAAAAATGCAGATTCTTCCAGCTGCAGAGGCTGCTGCAAACTTTTTTAAAGTTAAAAGTTCAGCCATAAAAGCTCATCACAAAAATATGCTTTGTAAATATGAAGCATGTAGGTCATGTCTTTGTCTCACTACCTAACATTTGCATGGGAGTCACTAACATGCTGAATAAAGTCCCGAAGCTAGAACCTTATTTGTTGGAATTTGTAAGCTGCTTATGTTGTTCCAGAAATAATGAGAACATCTAAGTTCACCTACCTCAGTTTGACAGATCAGTGACTAAACAATGACCCAACATTGCGTCTGGATGTTATACAGTTGACATCTATCACACAGGTTCCTTAATCTGCTAAGTTAAAGTGAGTTTTCCTCTATAAAAAAATGAGGGGTACAGTATCAAAACTGTTTTTCTACGGTGTTACTGTGCAATGCAATGCTTTGAAAATAGTAATATTGCAGAAAATGGTTTTCAGCAGTGTTTAGCTTAGAATTAAATGGCTCCGTACTGATAGTTAACATCATAGGCCGACTATAAACTATGTCCTACAATCACCTTAACATCAGAAGGCTTTTTCAGATGGTGTCAATGTGTCTTTAGGAATAAAACCTACTTTATTTAGCCCTACTGTCTGCATCTTGTACTATCAGTCAATTTAAAAAAGTAAAAAAAAAATATCCACTGGACTTTGTTTCCAAGTTTGAAGAAGTTTCGCTTCCCATCCAGGAAGCTTTTTCATTTCAAAATTCAATTTCCAATTTGGATGACTGAGAATCATCACCAGCATATCCTTGATTTTGAGAATTGGTCCTGATAAGTCCTTAAAAAGTTTGTGAATTCAATGTTAACCAATATGTGAGAACCCTGGACAGTAAGTACAGCTAATGATGGAGAATTCATCTGCTGGGTTTGTATTTCAGCAAAGAAAGCAGCTTAAAGCCACCAGACTGTGGACAATATTAATTTTTTTAGCATCAAACATAAGTTAATTTAAACTCAAGGTAATTTCAGAACCCAAGCTGAAGGATATAGTTATGTGCACAAACTAAGTTGTACATTTTATTCTTTTGGTGACTTTGTTGAATTCATCTTAAAATGTAGCATTTTGGGTTTTAACTGTACAATCAATAAATGTATTGATGTATTGCATGCCTCTCGGTGAGATTGTGCCCTGCATCTGACTTACTTACCGCTGATCATCTGAGAAGGCACAGTGCGCACTGGGATGTGAGCATCAGCTTGCATCTCTGTTGTTGAGCTGTATTCAGTGGCCGCTACAAAAATATTCCGATTCCAGTCACAGAGACCTAGTGGTGCCCTGAGGGGAGGAAAGAGAGAGAGCGAGAGAGCAATGCCACTGGCCCACAGATGGTGCAGGGGCAAGTACCTGTAAAGGTGGGCCAGTTGCGATATCCCTTATCGTATTTTGCATAAGCACTCTATGACCGAATAATTCATTCTGGTTTTCACTAATCTTAGAGTTATAGATTTTCAGGCTCTTAAGGCGAATTTGACTGTATTTAACATCCAAGAAACCCTGAATAGCAAATTGGAAGGATAAAGAAAATGGTCATATCTTTGTCTGTTTGCTAACAAAATTTTTGTTACCAAATATTTACATTTATGATATATTATTAATGAATAAATTGTTATAAAGCTTTATGAATTAGTCATTTATAATAATTTGATAAATCAATATGTTTTCAATTCATTATAATTTTATACATTAACATTTTTCATAAATAGTTTAAACATTTGTTCACACAGTTTATCCTCCTTTATTTTAGAAAGAAGACACAGCACAGGAGAATGAAGACCAGAACGGTGTCCCAGATTTCCCTCCAGTCCAACCTTCACGATCTCCACCTCCATCAGCTGACATTCTCAAAGCCAGTATCGCTCCCATGGCAACCGTCAGCAACATTAATATTGATATGGCTTCACAGTTGAATGACAATACGGTGATGAATCACATTCAAAGGCCCCCGACCATTAAGCCAAGCAGGGAACCTGCAACTCGCACCGTCCACAAAGAGAGCAAGACGAGGCGGAAACCGGATCCCTCACCTCCCCCTCCCCCTGTGACTCCCCCTCCCCCTGTGACTCCCCCTCCCAGAACTGCAGCAGACGAGAGGACAGCTTCCAATGGGGTGTTAGGTATCCGGCCAAACAGAGGTGATACCTTTTCCGTCCCCGTGGAGAAACAGGACTCAGATGTGGACAGTAAGGATGACACTAACGAGTTACTTCAAGAGGCCGACGCACAGAATTCAAATGCTGGAAACATTATGGATGTGGATGGAAATGTGGACAATAAAAGTGAAACTGTGACTTTAGTCAAGCGTATTCCAGCACATCTACCACATGTTGATGTAAGTTTTGAAAAGGTAAAAGAAAATGAAAGTTTTTATCTCACCTTTTTAAATGACTCTCTCTGTCCTTGCAGGACAGCCTCGAAAGTACGGAAAAGCTGTTAGAGCGTCCATCAGTGGTAAGCATTAAATGTCCCATATTGTTTCCCTTAAAAATAAAGCTTTAATAGTCATAATTACAAAATTTTTTGTTAGAATAATTACTAAAAATAATACATCCTTGGAATGTCAAGAGTGGTGCAGTTGCCTCATTTTCCACAACAAAGTTTGAGCATGTGCTTAAGAGTTTCTCACCCTTTTCTGTACTAGTGTAAACATAGAAAATAGAAGAACTGATTAAAAACATCAACATTTCTGCAAACATTTTAATCTTAGCATATATTTATACAGTTTAATATAGAAAGCCATAAACATACCTCATACTCATGCAACAAAACGATCTCAAAATACATGGTTCTCATTTTCTATTTCACCTAAAATATTTACAAAATGTTGGTAGATAGAAAAAAGGGTAAAAATAAGGAATATCCTTTTTTAAATGTGTGTTCAGGAAAGGCATTTATAATCTGATTTATTAATTTTTGTTTTGAAATATTCATTTAGAAATAGGATTTTAAAGTTCTTTTTTAAGTTCCAGTATTTACTAAAATACGATTTACAATTTCTCTTTAGAAATTGAATTTATAACGTTCAATTAGAAAATGCTTTTTAAATGGGATTTCCAAATTGCAGGATTTAAATGTTACATTGAAAATATATGTCTTTCTTTTGTGAGAGACTCTCTAAGTCATCCATAGTGAACAGAGATATGGAACAGAGAGCATTTGTTGCTTTGACATACTGTCAGACAATTTCCCACTTTATTTCAATGAAGTGGATGTTTACTAGGATTTATATTTCTTTGTGTAATCTAACAACCCTCGGTGGGAGAGTCCTTCTGATGTTAGCAGTGCTTTTAATCTGGTGGTTCCAGTTTAAAAGCACTGTTTAAAACTTAGCTCTATGCATTAAATCACTAAAGCCTTCCATATATACCATGTTAATTGCCAGCATGTCTTTGTTTAATCATGTTGCAAACATTTTGTCTTAACGCCCTACGCTTTTCTATCCTCAAATCCACAATTTCCAAGCGCTGCTCCACCATGTAGCGCGGCTAAATAGGCGCTATTTAGGAGATAAGTTCAGGAGTATATCTAGTATTTATATTTACAAACATAACCACATAAAGTTCATTCTACTTCCTAGTTGTTATTAAAAGGGATATATCCTGCACAGGACTCTATTGATTCATGTTTCTCCTCTAGCTTGCCCATGATTCAGCAGTTCTGCTTAGGAATAAATAATATCGCCCTCTACTGGCCGACAGTAACATTACGACTCTGAAAGAAATTCCTTTTAACCAGATGTTCTTAATTAGATGAGACCATTTTTAACCTAATAAGTACTTAATCAAAATTTTATAAGTGAAATATGTGTTTACTTCCAAAAAAAAATACATTCTTATTTTTTATACATTTTGAGGTGTCCAAAATATACACATCTTTACTTCTGATTACGACACCAACAAGCCGAGCTCTAGATCTTTGGTGCCAAAGAGGCTCAGACGCCATGCAGAAGTTGCTGCTTCAAGATTGGAATAAGAGCAGATGAGTGAGAGTACGCCACCTACTGGGTGGGAGGAGTTAAATTGCAGCTAGCTCCTTAAGAAAAACTAGTGCAAGGTTAACAGACAATGCATTTTTTTTTCTTGTGGTGTTTTGATGTTTCTGTTGTGTTTTAATAGGGGCCTGTTGAAGAAAAAATGTCTGCCATTGCACCTAAACAGGATCAAGGTATTTTTTGCCAAAATCTCCAGATCCTTTCAGAGCCACAAGGATTAGAGCCACTCAGACGTGGGAGGCTTTCAGATCCAACTAAAGGGGAAAGTAAACAGGTAAACATGGTTTGAAATTTCACATTTCAATATAGAACTATGACATTGCAACTACACATTTTTTTCAAAATAAAATAACTGAAAATTTGTCCAGAACTGAATAGCTTTGTGTTTTTTGAAAAGTGACTCTGAAACTGCAGAAATCAAATATGAAAACAAGTGTGATTAAAGTTATTATTATATATTTGTTATGTTGGAATGTCTTTTGCTAGTTTAAGGTAGCAGCTCCAAGACCTTTACCTCAACCTCCCATAGAGGCTGCAGCTGTGGAGAGGAAAAAGAGGACCAAGAAGACTTCAGAGGGCAAGAGTGTTGATGTGACTGCAGCCTCCACATCTGTTAGCTCATCCAAGGATGGATTATTACCTCTACCACAAGTGAGGGTGACCCTATTATCCCCTAGACAATGATCAGGAGTTTTCTCTAACTCTTTAAAACACTTTTCTGGATCTATTTTTATGCATTTTATCCAAAAAATGACCTTGCTATGGATCGATTGTTTCACTGCGATTTTCATTTACGCTGAAGCTGCATGAAGTGTTACTTGCTGAAAAGCTGAAACCATCTCTCCTTTTCCCAAAGGGAAGGGTTTGAGTTTAGGGAAAATATTTAGTTATGTATGGGTGGGACAGAGACACAGTCATGATGCATCCAAAATAACGATTTAGAATATATATAGCATTTAATAGTTGTTATCTCAACCCTATTTTTGTTTTCTTTACCAACCCCTGCCAAATGGCTGTCTGTCGGTCTCACTCGTCACCTGCTCTCTCTTCTCTCTCTAAAGGCGCTCAAATTTAAGATGGATAGATAGATAGATAGATAGATAGATAGATAGATAGATAGATAGATAGATAGATAG